CCCAACTACTTGCTTGCAAGTAAGCTATCTTATTTCATAATTCCTTAACGTGGAATATACATATTTATTTAATGTGACATTCAGGTGCCTAATTTCTTACGTTGTCTACCTATTTTGACTTCCCCGATTTTGTATAAAAGAAATAATGTCACATTCAGGTGCCTTATTTTTTACATTGTCCACCTATTTTGACTTCCCTGATATACGTCTAAGGTGTTAATGTGCAACTGACTAGTTGATTATTATTTTTTTATTAATTAATGGAGAACACCTAATTAGTGGTTGCCAGAATTATTTAGATTTGGGTGGCGTTATTGCCACAGCCACTAATGTTAATACCACAGCTTTTTTTAATTATTTGACTATTATACCCCTCATTTGAATCCAACTTGCAGCAGTCACCACCTTCTCGGCGTGGGTTAATGGTCAATTAATTAAAAAAGCTGTGGTGTTAACCTTTGAAGCTGTGGCAATAACACCACCCTTTAGATTTTGTTTGATGTAGCTGTTAACAACAACTTATAGCTATTAATTAATTAAACAACTAATATTTAAAATTAATTTATAAAATAATATTTTTACACCCTAATCAAGAATTTTAAAAAATAAGAAAAAAAGTTATAAATTAATAAAATTACTCAAATCAAACACACCATTAATTATTTCCACCTTTCCCATTTAGTATATAATTAAAAGAATAGGAAAAAGTGACTGTCAGCCTTACCTCTTAAAAATTAAGAGGAAAATCATCCTAAAATTACGTCATTTCAATAAACTTTTATTGAAAAAGACTAAACTATCATATTTTTAAAGTATGCATTAAGGTGATTTTTGTCCTTTTATCTCCTAATTTTTTGGAGGTAAGGCGAACAAACACTAACTCCAAAAGAATAAGTCATAATTAATTAATAAAAATAGTGCATATCAGTCTTACTTCCTAAAAATTGAGAGGAAAATCATACCAAAATTACGTAGTTTCAATAAATTTTTATTGAAAATGATTAAACTACCTTATTTTTAAAATATGCATTAAAGTGATTTTTATTTTATTTTTTTTAATTTTTTAGAGATAAAGTAGATAAACACTGACTCTTTAATTAATTAAGAACATATAATTTTTCCGCTAATGAGTAGTGATCATGTCAATGTCATTTATATAATACTCAGACTTAACACCAAAGAAAAGAAGAGGTTGCTTCTTATACTAATATATATCTTACCATTCCGGAAATTGTAGAATCCCAAAGATTCCATCTGCACCCAAAACGAAATCGTACTATTTATTTGCTGCTTCATTAAATACTACATACTATAATTAAAAATATAACCTTAATTCATTAATTAATATCGACAATTAAAGTTTAATTACCTGCCAGTGTTCCTCAACTGCATTTTTAATGAAGGCTTCATTTTCGTACGAGAGTTTAGCGGCCATCATCGACAGCAATGTTTTGTATTTTCCATCTCCAGGTCTAATGTTTCTGTCCAACTCAATTCGCCTGTCAAGGTTCCCAACCAGCGACACGTACGTCGCCGATGATCTTTCCGGCCAGACGACCTCTCCTGCATATATAAGACCAATTGAATAAAAATATAATATAATATAATATAATATTTATACTTAAAATTTATAAAAAATTATAAATTAATCTATATAAAAATATGTATAAAATTAATTTAAAATAACATACTTAATAAGTTTTAGGCATAGGTTAAATAAACCATTTCTTAATTGAATTTTTTAATCGATGCCCTTAAACCTCACTAATTAAAGTAGTTGTAGTTAATTTTGTATAAAATTTTATACAAAATTCAAATATAATATAATATAATATATAAAAATATAATATAATATTTATAATCAAAATTTATAAAAAATTATAAATGTGATATGAAAATTTGTGTAAAATTAATTAAAGAGACTTTAATTAATGAGTTTGATCCGATAACCTAAAGCATAGATCAGACAAACTATTTCTTAATAGAAATTTTTAACCTATACCTTAGACCACAAGTTAAATTTCATTAATTATCGTATATGTAATTAATTTTACATAAATTTTCAAACAAAACTCAATTAAAATATAATATAAAATGCAAAAATAAAATAAAATAAAATGAAATATTTATACTTAAAATCTATAAAAAATTAAGAATTTGATATAAAAATTTTTACAAAATTAATTAAAAATACCATAATTAACAAGTTAGGTACAAATTAAACAAACCCTTTTTTAATTGTGACTTAATTACGGCATCCTTGCATTTATATCTGCATATTTGTGATTATATTCTGCAACCCTGCATATTTGTGTTGAGAGTGCTCTCATGGAAGCACATATAGCAAAATTTAGGGAAAAATGAACGTTCAAAAAAAAATTTTTTTTGGGGGTAATCTTTAAGATGAAAATGGTTTAATTTTGCCTCAAGTTTGAAACAGAGAAAACAAACTATTTTTTTTTAATTAGTAATTCAATATAAAGAATACTCAAACTGTGGTAACACAGGCAAAATTCACAACTTGAAACAAAGGGCCTAAAGCATAAAAAATATACAAGGCCAATACCAAAGAACAAGACCTAATGGAGCATTAATTTCCCCTGCTACATTTCATAAACAGGTAAATCTAAGACTATATTA